ATTTTTTAATAGAATAAGATTTTATTATAAAAAATATAAAATTGATAATTTTAAATTTTTTAAAATTTGATTTGTATATTATATACGTATATTAAACACATTGACAATGTTATGAACAAAATTAATTATAAAAAAATGTGTATATAATATTTTAAAAGGAAACTTGTGATTTTTATGAAAAAAAATTATATTTCAAATGGAAAATCATATTTCAAATTACATATATTTTAATAATAGAATGAACAAAAATTTATTAGTAACTATATTCTTTAATGTTTATAAATATAAAGATCCTTCTTGGGCCACGTTTGGAAACATCATCTGGATGACTCATATATCATCTTATCCCTGCTTAACATTGGGTGAACAACAAAATTAAATGACATTCAGGTGATGTTTCCGAACATAGCCTAGTGCGACATTACGCAAACGAAAGCCATCTCTTGCCTCTCCCTCCCGTTTAGAGGCGCATGACTTTTCATGCGAAACGACTCCCATTCCACTTCTAACCTGCAAGGGTTGCACGAGTTTTTACGCTCCGTTGACAGAGGGGAAAGTAGGATCAAAGTCGCTTCGTGTAAAAATATATCGTACAATATATATTAAAGCAAAAAATTTCTTACACAAATAGAAAGATTCATTGTATAAAAAAATTAGACCTTTAAATCCAAATATTTCAGAAATTATTAGAGACCGCCACCTAATTGTTAAAATAAAATTATTCAAAATAAAATCATGACTTTAATAACATATATCGAAGTCAAAAGCATTGGCGCGATGTCTCTTGCATAATTACTAAATTTTTTCCATAACGCCACAATTCCCCTCTTAAAACATGGTACACATAATATATATGTCTTTTTATAATTAGTCTTGTTCATTAGATATTAAAAAAGAAACGCGATTTTTAGGGGAGCACCACTTCTAAATATTTACCAACTGAAAATATTATTACAAAATTAATAAATATTATCTTACCTGTAAGCGTAATCGTGTAACGTTTAGCAGTACAACTATATTTGTATATAATTGCAATTTCGTTTTTATCTTTTAATTCATTGAGTATATATCGAAGCTCCACGAATAAATTCTTCACCTATTATGTTATTAATTTTCTATACTGTGTTATATATATCAAAAACATGTTTGTGTAATGACATTTTTTGATAAACAAATTCATTCTAATTAACGGATACTCGATAAGTTATGAACTTACAATTTCAATGTTAAAATGGAATGCATTATATTTTATCATGCATAATATGAAGAAAGATACGGAAGACAGCACTTTTATTATAAGATTTAAAGTACATTTTAATATTATTATTGGTGTCAACTGCAAAAAGTTAATTTTACATAATTTCATATATATATGATTTTAAAAAATGCGAAATATTATTTTTTAAAAACAGCATGTATTAACGGTTACATATACAAATAAATACTTATACATACAATTATTAACTAACAACTTGTACTTCTATTGAGAGTATTTTAGTTTCTTAATTGACATAAAAATTAAATTGCATAATATGGATTGATATAAATAATTGTAGTGAAATATTGTCATGCAGTAATTTATATTATGAAATAATGTTAGGTTTTTTTTTACCTGAAATGCAATACCTGTGGATAAAATGGCACAGAAAAAAATAAACTGAAATTGAGTAAATTTCGATTGTTGATAAGGCCATAAACCGACAGCAAGCAATAGAATTTTATTGAGATTATTATGAGTTTCTATATGTATCATTTTTTCTTCGAGCGATAAAATATTATTGTGAAGACTGATTCATCACTGAGAGTATGCTTATTCCATTTTTTCACTATTTGACAAAATATTTCACATTTTCATGTTTTCTGGTATAGTTTTACCGTAAATTTCATAATTTATTAATAATGATTGGTTATGTAAACGTTAGCTATGTAAGGTCTAACGACATTAAATTTAACTATTCTGTCAATAAATTACGAATATTTATGTTATTGATTTGATACTACTAATAATTCGACGGATGTTATTTTCTCATGAAAATAAGTTATCTGCCACGCAGGCGCATTTTCTTCTTTCACCAGAACTTCATTCTAGTCTACGCACTTGCCCGATACACTCCGAGAGAATACCGCTTTTCTTTAATTTTTTTCGATATTCTGATCTATCTGATAATATTCATAAATTGAGAATGATAGCATTAATACATAACATTATTATATTTTAAAACGTTTACGTTTGATGAAATTAATATTCTTAGGAATCAAGTGTCGAATGCTGATTTGTAAGTTTTTCGTCTAATTGAACTATCGACTGTATAATTTTCTTTCCTTTTTATTTATCATTTTCTATTAATAAAATTTTTGAATTTATGTGTAATATTTATATATGTTGATATAAAAATAATTAATTAAGTGTAATAATTCTTATACGTTGAATAAATTTAGCACACAAAAAATTTTATTTATCGATAATGTAAAGTATATACATTCACTGCAATATGTTTTAACAATTTTCCATATATTGATTTTACTGCAGAAACTCGAAGTACCAATATCTTGATTCTTCTTTTTTTAACAAAAAGATATCTGTACTTTAAAAGAAATTACTGACTTATAAAAAATTAGATTTGAATTAAAGAATCTATTATTTTGCGTATGTGGAGGATAAATATTTTTATATCTTAAAGTATTCAATTTTTTAAAACAACTGTACTGCACATTGATTTATATAGAAAAAATATTTTTTTTAAATAAAATATTTCAATTATATTAAAATGTTGATATATATAGCATTTACCATCTACATTGATACGTCCGTAATACAATACATAGACACACGATTATAATCTGTGCATTTGTTTGTTACAAACTTTTAATTGCAGTTAAGGAAAAGTATATAATTTATGATGTGCAATTTTATATTTTCTTTTGAAAAAGAAACAATAAATTTTGTTTAAAGCAATCGCTTTATCTTCTTATAGTTTATATAGCTTAATACAGACAGTATGAGATTATTACAATTTATATTTAAATGTAACCAGATCCCAATATGATATGTCTTATTATTTACTTAAGTAAATTTTTCTAATTTTTTACCGAGTTTCAAAATTTGAGAAATATTTGTGAACATTAAAAAAACATGAAATATTTTGGAATATTTAAATGTATAGTGAAGATTTATAATAAATCTGTGTATGTGTAGGTCGTAATGAGTACATCTCAGTGAGAAATGCCAATGAAATCGATGTTGAATCAATCGATTCGACGTCGATTTGATGATTTCTATTATTATTTCTTTTCACTGGGATATCCAAACTTAACAATTCTTTTTCTTTCTTATTTCTTTTATTTAATTTTTTAACGTATGTTATTTATCAATGAAATGTTTGAACATAAATACTTATATAAATGTTGAAATGAAATATATTGATTAAAAAAGAATTTATTGCATTATAGTAATAAATCCTGTATTTATTGCATTATATAGTAATAAATCCTGTATTCAAAATATCTTATTTAAATATAAAATATTTAAACACGCTGTTTATATTTGGATACTACAGTTAATACAGAGGAAGGGAGATCCCGTTTGCCTATAAAACGATTGCCTACAGCTTTGTTTGCACACGGTCACATTATACTGACGATTAAGTTGCCCATAATGCATTGATCATACAACTGTAATGCACATTGCTTATATGATTATATTACACATTGCACATACGACTGTGTGGTATATACGTGTCGCGCACATGCCATTCGGCACGCATATACATTGCAAACAAAGAAAGTCCATAATTATACAATACCATATGGGGCACTTTTCAAGTTTGACTGCAAAGCAAAATTATACAATGTGCAAAATTATTTATAGTGCATGGATGCAGTATGAAAATAAGCTATTTTAATTTAAATAATTTTAATCTTATACACAGGGAAACATCTATCTGTACTCTATGTTCAAAAAATGAATCTATTATTTTCTAAGCGCTATTATCATCATTTCTTATTAACTACGATTCTATTATGATAATAATAAATTAATGAATATTTATTTTGTCATCGTGTAGACTGCATGACTGTGAAATAAGATACTGAGGCCTTTATTAGCTGCAATTATAAATATTTTTTTTTATTATATCAATACATAAATGGATACTAAAATATCTCCCAAAATATTACCGTTGCAAAACCTTCCATGGATGCATCAAATATTCCACCAATATTTAATGAAAATTCCTTGGCTTTTCTTTGCAGTAAAAATAGTATCATTCTCTGTATATATAATGGAGTTTTATACCACTGAACATTGTACCTACAGAATTGAATATACAGATAGTAAATCACTTACTTTTAATTGGAATTCTTAATTAGTTAATATTGGCATATGTTTTAATTAAATCCAGCAGATCAATTTCTGTTTGTAATGTTGTAACAAATGCCAAAAGCAACAATCGCACATACTAGCATACATAAATGTTTCTCTTACGCAGTAATAAATACGTAATTATTGTGGTCGATTATATTCTGTCCGATATAGTTGGCTATAAACATGTATATGATGCATACAGATGCAAATATAAACGATGATAAAGATTCGCTGACATTTGTTCTAATGTTTTCAGATGATACTATCTGGAAAAGCTAAGAAATAAATTTTACATTGCAAATTTCAATCTTCTACATATGTATCTATATTCTAATTATCAATCTGTAACGTGCAAGTTTTATTTATTCCTGCAATTAAGATTTCTTTTACAGTTCGATTACTTATATGCACTTTTGCGCACAAATAAAAATTTCAAAAAGGAAGTCACTTTTGTCCACATATATTAATGCTTACATATATTACTACTTATTTGAATTATTATAACACTTTTGAGCACAAATATATTGTAAAATTAATTTTAAATTAGTTAGAAAGTAATTTCTAAAACAGAGATTAGGACATGTAGGCGATCAAGCGATAGGCAATAATACATGTAAACAATCGAGCTATAAACAAAAATATATATAGGCAAATGTAACTTTGTTCTTGAAATTTTTATTAGTGCGCAAAGAATACGTTATTGACAATCGAGCTATCGGCAATAATTTTTGTGCACAAACAATCTGTCGCTAAATGCGATAAGGCAATTAATTTTTGATGTTCTTTAATGTTTGATAATAAATATTTTATAAATTTGCATTATAGATGTGTCTACAATGTTACTGTGTGTTCGAATGTATTTGATAATTTTTTGGGAGAATTCTGTTTGCCTACAGCTTTGTTTGCACACGGCACATGATGCAATTGGATTAGTTTACATCGCGCATTTAATACGTGAACTAATTACTACCAATAGCACAGAGTGTGCAACGTGCTGTGAGCAATACTATTGCGTGTGCAATATGCTATGTGTAATACTGTCATGTGTGCAATGTGTACAAACGAAGCTGTGTATAAACGAAGCTGTATCCTGGTGAAAATTTTTCTCAGAATTTTACATATAATTGTTTAGAATTTCTAGATAATTTTTCAAAATTTCTCTATAATTTTATAATTTTCTCACATTTTTTTATACGAATTGAACATTTCTTAGAAAATCTACATCTTTTCTTGGAATTTTTCATATATGTTAATTATGAAATATCGTAAGATTTTTAAGAGTTTTTTGTAAATATAATTTCTGATAAAGTGTTACAAAATCTAAAATATTTTTAAAATACTTATTAAAAATTGAGATGAGAAATTTCGGAATATTTCTGAGTATTTCTAAAAAATGTTCCAATTCATGTAAAAATTATGAGAAAAATTTTCACCAGGGAAGGTAATTGTTTGTTGAAATGAAGCCTTGCTTTTGATTATGCTTTACGTTGTTTTTTTCTTATGACATTTACAATATATGTATATATTAGTGTGGGAAAAAGTTCGTGGCATTTTTCCCATTAGATGGCATTAAAAAAACGCCACGAACTTTTTCCCATACCTAATAGTTTTAAATTTATTTATTTACTTATAATACATATTATTTTTATGGCTTTTGTTTAAGACTTA